GGGGTCGGAAACGTTTCCTTCTCTGCGTTACACACATCCACTTTTACCACAAATCTAATATACCCCTTAACTCTTTTTTGAGTACGGGTATAAAAATATAATATCCACTGATAAACATACAAATTAATCAAACAAACATTAAATTTATAAGTTTTTGTTTCAAATTAAAAAAGAAGGAACTGGCGTGAAAAAATGGAGGGCCCCAGATTGATGGTTGCCCAGCATGGACATAGACTACTAACCACCGCTCCAGTACTTGCTTGCCCTGACTACAACCACTAAGCAAACAACACATAGAGGCGTCAAATCGACTAAAAACTGCCTGCATACAATTTTTGGACGATTGGCTCCCAGGCCTTCGGATCGGGAGCCGATAGCTTCGGCAGGGCACTCGGCTCTCTCCGGCTTGAGCCGAGAGAGAGCTCCTTTGCAGCTGTGTCGAATATTCGACATTTATTATATATATAACCGTGTGCGTGTGTAACTATGCCTGTATTTGTGTCCTCTGACTCTGACGCCTAGCAACGAAAATCTTTTTTGTCATTTCGAGTTGCGAGTTGGATTGCGTTGCTGTTAGTCAATTTCGAACAGCCTATTTCGATATTGCGATTTACATACATATTTATATTGTTCTTATTATTATTACTATACTATTTTTGCTTACTATATTATACAATACAAATAAATATTATGGAAGTACCAACTAAGGGCCATAGACAAGCTGGCTCCAGGTGTGTTATAGATTCGTGCTTGCAAGGGTACAGGAATGGCGCCGAGCATTTTCCTATACGCCTTTTCAAATTTCCCCAAAAACGAAAATGTTCGTCGTCTGTGGGTTGCAAATTGTAATCTAGGTCCGGATGTAAATTTAAATAAAGCGCATATATGCTATCAACATTTTGAAAATAAGTATTTTGGCTGTACCAACTCTGAGATTGTTTCAGGCCCCGAATTTCAATAAGCTACCGAAACCAATGTGTTTAGATTTGCGGATAATAGCGACGAAATCGAATCATATTCTGATTTAAAAAAAGAAACTTTTATAGTAAAAAATAATTTGGAATTTGACGTAGACATGGAAAGTCTACCTTCCGTTGCCATCGAACCCGTTGATAATAAAATGATTGTATCTGATGAGCCTACCCAAAATGCGGAATTTTGAACTGCTTAAAGAAGGAGCAAAATGAATTATATTACAAAAATAAGTATTGGAAATGTCTCAAGAACTTAATAAAGAAAAAAAGAGAGTTCAATTGTATAGGAAGAAGGTACATAAGCTGCAAACATCGTTAAGGATCGAAAAATACAAGAAGCTCCGATATTCGAAAGAGTCACGTAAACGGGAAAATATATTTACAATGATAGACAAGAATAAAATTCAAATTCGGTTTGCAAAATGCTTCTTAAAAATAAAACTTCCTGGCAAGAGGATGAAAAAAATTATTGCTCAAAGCATACATTTTTATTCTTCCAAGCTATGCGAAATGATTTGGAGTTAAATTTTCAGTCTAAATCATCTTTGGGTAGATGGGCTCCTGTGAAATGTTTGATACCAGGCCTAAATGAGAACCTATCAAACACGTTGCTTACAATATTTTAAAAAATGGATGTAAAAAGTAAGCATGCTGCTTTAATTTTCGTTGAAATCTCAATTAGAAAGGGCCTGCATTATAATTCACACCGAGATGAAGTGGAAGGGTTTGTGGATGATGGTGTGGAAAAAACATCTCAACTGTGCAAGCAAATTTCTGTATTCATGGTAAGGGGGCTCTATGTGAGTTGGAAATATGTTTTAAGTTACTTTGCAACATCTACTGGGCTGACTTCTCTGAAGTTAAAGGAAAAAAATCGAAAATAATATCAAAGCTGCTTATAAATTGGGGCTTAATATTAGAGCAATTGTATGTGACCAAGGCTCAAATAACCGCGGAGCCTTTAAAAAATTTTGGGTGAGCCTGGAAAACCCATATTTTAAAGTCGATGATCATCAAATTTTTGCCATCTATGATGTCCCACATATTATAAAATCATCACGAAATATATTAATGAAAAATTGTATCGAAACACCTGATGGACCAGTATCATGGAAAGTAGTTGAAAAATTGTTTGAAATAGATACTAATAACTCTTCTACTAGATTATGTCCAAAATTAGCACGTAACCACATAGACCCCAATTCATTTGAAAAGATGAAAGTGAAATATGCTACACAAGTATTTAGCCACACGGTATCCTCTGCAATCAAAACATTAATTGAAAGTGGCAATTTAGATGATTGCAGGGATGTAGCATATTCAACTGCTATTTTCTTCGAAAGAGTAAATAAAATGTTTGATTGCTTAAACAGCAATAATCTAAGTGGCAAACACCCAATGAAGTCAGCTCTACAAAAAAATAACAATGTGGAAAAATACATTATGGAAATGAAAGAGTATTTTGAGAAGTGTCGTTATCCCAGCAATGTATATTGTATTGATGGACTTATTCTCTCTATAAATTCAATACTATTGCTTGCACACGACGTATGGAATGAAAATACAGATGTTTACTTCTTGATTTTGTCTCGACTGAATCAAGATGCATTGGAGAACCTTTTCTATCTAATAAGAAGTAGAGGGGTTACCAACAATACTCCAATGCTCTTCGAATTCAACGCAATCATTTCAAAAATGTTGTCAATGAAAATCATTACCTCAAAAAGTACAAGTGAAAACTGTGAACCGGATGATGACAACATGCTTATAAATGTGATTTATGAGGCAAAGCGAGAAATTCAAGTCGAATTCTCGGAGACCAAAGAACAGTTACCTTGCCAAGAGGTTGCCTTAGAAAAATGCAATAATTAACATAGCCCTCATATAACGGAGACTATGGATTTTTCTTCCACTAATATTATTAGTGCAAGTAAAGAAAACGCATTGCGTTATTTTACAGGTTTTGTGTTGTATAAGTCGCAACAAAAGTTTCATTGCGACACCTGCGGCGAACTTTTAAAGGACAACATTGTGCACTGCGAAAATTCAGAGCAATTTTTGTTCAATAAAATCTTTAAAAGTATTAATAATAACTTAAAGCTCAAGACCCCCAAGACGATTTTTTTAATTTAATAAAATAAATAAATAAATAATAAACGAAGGCCTGGGAGCCAATCGTCCAAAAATGGTATGCAGGCAGTTTTTCGTCGATTTGACGCCTTTATGTGTTGTTTGCTTAGTGGTGCTACCAAAGACTATACAATAGATGCTGCATGAGCGACCAAAAAGCTGTTCTATGGCGAGGCTTACCGGTAAGCCCCACGGAAAAAGGGAGCGCGCGGGGTTTCAATTCTCTTTTCGGCTATGCTTCGTCTCTGACCGCGAGATCAAGACCGCTCAGCAGATGCGCACAGTTTTTTTTACATTTTTTTACATTTCGTTATCAACTTTGAGTGCTCATATCTCATATCTCTAAAATTATCTTGAAAATTAGATTCGCTATAGCTCTGGAACATTTTCTACTATATGTGTACATTTGTTTTATTCAAAGCGTTCATAAAAATTTTTTAATTTTTCCACCCTATTCGGCTCAGTCCCCACTGTAAATACACACAATACAAACAAATAACAACTTTAACACCAAACTCGACCTATTCAGTACCGGATCAGCCCTCAACCGGCCCTGGGCAACCATCAATCTGGGACCCTACTTTTTTCACGCCAGCTCCCTTCTTTTTTCATATGAAATAAAAACATATAAATTTTATGTTTGTTTGATTATATTTTTTGATATTAAGCTACTTTTAACCGTGATTAGTTGAAAGATTTATTTGGCCTCCACGTCTGACATGGGTTAACGCCATCTCCTTTATTCATTATTTGGATTTTTGATTTTAGCCTAGTACTCAGATCCAAAAACTGTTTGCCAGCAAACAAATGTCATATATTTTTCGAGCGGCCAGTGGTGCAACCAGAGGTGTGCACTGCATTCCGACGGTTACACTGCTCAGACCGCTGCTTGGTTTTGTAGAAAGTAAATAAAATGCACTTTTTCGGCTGGAGCCGCTCTTCCCCAGGCATATCCTAGACCATGATGCAATTACATAAGGTGGTCTCGTCGGCTGCCGAATCGTTCGGTTTTTAGTCCCTTAACGTTCAGTGCGTTAGAGCTGGGAAAAAATCGATTTTCGCAGAATCGATTCTTTTCGATCTTTTAGACAAAAACATCGATTTAATCGATTAAATCGAATATAAACACATTTTTATACCCGTACTCAAAAAAGAGTTAAGGGGTATCTTAGATTTGTGGTAAAAGTGGATGTGTGCAACGCAGAGAAGGAAACGTTTCCGACCCCATAAAGTATATATATTCTTGATCAGCATCAATAGCCGAGTTGATATAGCCATGTCCGTCTGTCCGTCCGTCTGTCCGTCTGTCCGTCTTGATGAGCGCCTGGATCTCAGAGACTATAAGAGCTAGCGAAACCAAATTTGGTTTCCAGACTCATGTGATATCACACTGCTACAATATTCAAAATCGCCCCACAAAAGGAGAAAATCTGTGGCAGGCACAGTTTTAAAGATACGATAAAACTAAAAACGCAGTATCGTAGAAAATGCCCATACACCAGATTGCCGAATCTGAATCAGATCGGATCATAATTATAGCCAGAATGAAGAAATTAATTTTCAGTTGCTTCCCTCCCCTCCCGCCAACGACAACGCATCTCATTTTCCTTCTCGCTCGCACATTCTGCCGCGTTCAGTGCGCGAGCAACCCCTAGCGGAGGAGATGTAGAATCTAAATGGTACTTGTACAAACTACATGTTAGATGTAGAATAGACATTGTAGATGTAGATGTAGATATCATATGTGGCAAAAAAATGTAAAATGTAAAATTTTTTTTTTTTCTAAAATTCTTAAAAATCATAAGCTCAAAAATGTATATACTGACGTAGTACGGGTATAAGAGTTGCGTAGAAGCGACTTACACGTTCCTTCTCGTTTTTTTTAGATCCATTGTTTTCTTTTATTGCTCCAGAAACCACTGATTCCTGCCCGCAAATAACAATTTGTTTACGTTGTTAGCCTTTAAGGAGGCTCGTCTATCTGATATGAGTATTCCAGCTTGAGCATTGTAGTAAGCATCCAAAGTCTTAGCTGCCTTTGGTTTGTCCATCAATGTTGGGTGCGCACGTTTTAAGTGGTTGAATAAATTTGTCGGATTCCCACATGATTTATATATTCCAGCGCATTGTTTACATTTTTCGTTTCCATCTTGCAAGCGCTTAAAGTAGTTCCATACGGTTGACCTACCACATTTGTCTTTCCTCCATGGCTCGTCATTCTCTTCCGAATCGGACTCATTTTTTTCGCCATGAGTTCTTTTTCCTAATAAAAAAATGTGAAAACACGTGCGCATCACTGCATTTTGTTAATATTTACCTTTCAACTGCAAAAACATATCCATTCTACTCCCTTCCTACCGGATTACCAGCACACTCGGATTCTACACAAATAAAATGCAAAAATATTGTATAAATATTCTTTTAAAGTTACATTTTATTCTTACCCTTTTGCTGTACTCAAGTTCGCATTAAATTGTGGTAAATTGGAGATGGAATTTCCAAAAAAAGAATCGATGTTTACACCAAAACCAAAGAATCGATTATATCGATGTTTGTCGTGCACAAAAAAAATTACGTATTGCAGTTTTGCCGCAAGCTTGTGCAAAGAACAGTTTATCATTACAAAAAATGTTCAACAAAAATTGTTAATGGCTTCCGAAACAGTTAAAATTAATTTAGATATAAAAACTCTGTATTTTAAGATTCGAATTTATTTTAGAATTAAGAGCCTTAACAAAAGAATATCTATCCAAAAACAAAAACAACGTTTAATTTCAAATTCAAAATTATTAAAAATTATATTATATAAAAAAATCAGCTCGTTTGATTTACAACTCGTTAATCAACACGCTTGTTTCACTCACACTTACTGCGCTGAGCCCTTTCACTCCCACTTATTGTAAACATTGTAAAGGGACTACTTTTGCCGACGAGACCACCTTATATAATTGCATCATGTCTTGACTCCCCCATTTTTATTGGCAAGGGAATGTGTCTGACTATCAGCAGCAGCAGATGGCGACGCCTCCCGTGCTAGATACCGTGAAGAAAAAATGTTTTGAAAACAATATTTGTTTTATATTTATGAAAATTAAGAAAAATAATAAATAATCCATTTTCCATGAATGAGAACTAGTTCATAAAATACTGCATTAATTAGATTCTATTTGTCTTCAGTATTAAAATATTTCATTTGGTTTTTTGTACTCTTATTGCAATGTTTGCTTCGTGTTTGCTGGAAAAATATATTAAATTGATATCATTTTCGAGGTGGGTCGAAACATACCCGCAATGCAAGTAAATACTTCGGATACTTTTCTAGTATATACCGACCTTTTTGTTTGTTGATCTGAGTACTGCCTTCCGTACAGAGCCTAGAAAACAGTTTTTGCCGTCAAAAATTTCTTATCGGCTTCATAAGAATATCAACCCTGATTCTGTTCGCGAGGTGTTTTTTTCGATCTGAGTACTAGGCTTTTTCAACAAATTTTTATGTTAGCCCTTGAATTGGGGCCATAGGCAAATGCTAATCCGGCCCTGGACCTATTCCCGTCGTCAGACTTCATATTTTGTTGGTGTATTGTGTAGTCTTTGGTGCTACGCATACTTACGCGTAAGCTCTTGCCTTTGAGTAAGGAAACAACAATTACAGGCGCATTAAAATACAATTTACAAATTCATTAGTACAACAAATTCATCATAAGTTTTCATTTATTTAATAAATTTAAAAACAAAAGGAACATTTTTCATATATGTATGTCAGTTACAATTAGAAATTAGATTGGAATTGGAAAATGGGTTCAAATTATCATTGAGGACCATGATTTGATTTACCATGTTTGGATTGTTTCCTATAGCGCTTCTTTTCTCACAAAGCAAACTCCTGGCTTTAGAAAAAACCCTCTCTGAGGCGGCGCTACTAGCAGGTACAGAAAAAATGTTGTATGCTAGTTTAAATAATGTAGGATTAGACATTTGGTTGGCTTTCCACCAGTCCAAACACACAAAATTTGTGTGTAAGAAATGTCATTGAATTCAAATAGCACTGTAACTCTCTATTGCTATTGCTGCGACATGTTTAAAAAATATGCTATCTTTGAGATTCTGTTGAATTAGTTTAACATTCCCAATTAAATTCTTCAGCACCATTTGGCAATTCGCTAAAGTAGATTTTTTTTCTTCTTCCGAAAATGACGGAAACTGATTTGCTGGGGGAAATAAAAAATTAGCGAGTGTATGAAAACTATGCATATGTGGATATAAACAGCATTGAAAGATTTCATTAATTTTTCTCCCACTTTATTAGAGATATGACTGGAGCAAGCTTTTTCAGCGCATGAGTGTGGGGAATTGCAAAATGAAGGGTGGGATAATTTTCTCCTCTAGGACTTTGGACGCATTTTCAAAATGGGATAAAACTTCTATAATAGAACTTATATCTGCTAATTTTAAAAACAATATTTTGCCGATCTGATTTTTTTCGCATAAAATTGAATTAATTTGATTCTGTTAAATATGTAAACTTAAACAACGCACTGTGTCTTCTCTATTTTCCTTTCTGTTATGCATTATCCAGCATAGGTAAATATGTATGTATGAGTCGCAATGAAGCTGCGTTCTCTCGTCTCCGTTTTTGATTTGTATTCCGTCTGCCTTGGACGGACATCTTTTTGATCTTCATAGTCAAAAGTCACACTCCACAAGTGTTTGGTTTTCAATTCCAGCAATTGCATTTGAAGCGAACCAGCATCAATTTCAAATGGCTCAATGTTTAATTCATTTGTATTGGTTTTAAGAGGATTTACTACAAAAGACAGTGTACTAGCACTTCTTTTGAATTGCTCAAATCTGCTAGCAAATTCATTCTTCATTTTTCTTAGAACCAGGATGAAGTCATTTGTGTCAATATTAGCATTGTTTTGATCGCGATATTATTTCAGATTTTCGAAATGAAGTAGTTTGCCGCGCTTGATGTCTTCGACAAAAAGAAGTAAAATATTTTCGAAACAAGCCAATTCCTCAAGCAATGTGTACGCTGGGTTTCCCTTCCCTTATAGTTGTACATTGAAGTTATTTAAAAATCTTTGTGATATCTACCATGAAGTTCAATTTTTGCAGCCATTTGTCTTCTGTTAATTCGGGATGAACAATGCCTTTTTGATTCAATAATGTTTTTATTTCACTCAAGGAAGACGCAAAACATTTCAATATGTTACCCCTGGAATGCCATAGCACTTTATTGTGCAGAGGTAAATCAGAATTCCTGAAACTGGCGATGGTAGAGAGCTTTTGCCAAAATGCTGTTAATGATCTTAATTACCAAGTTGATGACCTTAACTATTTCGGATGGAAATGTTTGAGCATACAGAACCTGCTGATGAATTATGCAGTGGAACGCTAAAATTTTTTTTTGCGAAGAATCGTTATTACCCCTTTATGTATTCCTGTCGTACTTCTGGCTCCATCAGTTGCTATAGAAACGATTTTATATATATCGACTTTATAGCTTGCCAAGCATTTCTGAACAACATTTGTTATATCCTCTCCACGAGTTTGTCCTGAGAGCGGCAGAAATCCCAGCATTTATTCTTTTGGACCATGTGATGACATATACCTGACGAAAAGGGTAACTTGTGCAGCGTGTTTTATGTCGCAAGACTCATCCACAGCAAGTGATAAAGCAGAAGCTAATTGGATATCTTCCACTTGCATATGGGTTACATTTGAAGACATTTTAGCAGTTCAATCCTGTATGGTTTTTGCAGATAATGGCAAATCTTTGATTTTCTTCTTCCGTTTTATTTTGGAAATCACAAAACAATTCTTCGCCTCCACATTCAAAGCAATCTTTGATGTACTCCCCGTCTGTGAATGGTTTCCCTCTTTTTGCAATTTGTAGGGATATTTTAAAGCAGGCCAGATTTAAAAATATTTGAAGATTGCGTCCACTTACTTAACATAGATTTTGACTGTTGTTTTTGTTTTATGCAGTTCTCAACAGCTTTTTTTCCTGAGTCACCGGTTGGATATTTAGCAGCGAATTGGGAATAGTGTGTAACGAAATGTCTCTCTATGTTCGATTTCTTATTATGTGCAAGCTTTTCTTCGCAAATAATAGCCTTTTTACACTGGGCGCGTCTGCTATCGATATCGGAATAGACGCAATGAAGCAGAAAAGGCGTTTACATTGGCAGAGGTGCGTCTTGAATTTTGATTTGGCTGCTTGATGACAAGGCTAAGTTAGGTTAGGTTAGGTTGTGGCAGTTGTCGGGATCGTTAGAGACCCGACCACCTAGAGGATCTGGAAGCCCAGCTTTTGTTAAAACTAGATGCACAGGCTAAGGCCAATGTCGCATGCGACCTGAGGATCCATGGAGTTCCGTACGTCGAAGGTGAAAAGCTGAAACATATCTTCAACAACTTGTGCCTCAGCCTAAATCACACGCCTGCGCCTGCTATTAGGGACATCTATCGTATGAGGCCGAACAAAATCATCATTGTCAAGCTGGAACGGGTGCGCGACAAAGCGGCATTACTGCGCAACATCGGTATGTACAGGCGGGAAACCAAGCAGCCCCTAACTCTGCAGTTACTCGGCCTAAACTCACCAGCCCCAGTATATGTCAACGAGCAGCTTACCAGGGAAAACTACCAGATTTTTAGAGAAGCTCTGAAAATGAAGAAGCATCGGAAGCTGCAATCCGTGTTTACGCGCAGGGGTATGGTTCACGTCAAAGTGATCCAAGAAAGTGAGATCTGGGAAGTTCTCAAAATTGAGGATCTGAGGGAGATGCAAGCTGCTACTGAGAGCCCTGCAGCTGGAGACGAGAATAGCTCGTTTCGTCAATAATATAACCATAGGCAAATTTTTCATGTTAGCTATAAGTATTACCCATCTAACCACCTTCCTGTATTTTATTTTTAAGTGGGCCCTTAACTGTACTTACTGTAATGAAATTTTTCGTTGTGTTAAAACACACTTGATATGGACGGTTCATTAGAACTAACAAATGTGAATACATCTCAGGTCCTCAGAATTCTGGTGAAGCAAAAATCGGGTCTGCAAATCTGCCATATCAATGCACAAAGCCTGACAAAAAAAATTGACGAATTCAGACATATGTTTATCGACTCTGGTGTGGATGTTATATGTGTGTCCGAGACTTGGTTTGTCCCCGACTTAAGTGACTCGTTAATTGAATGTAGAGGATACAATGTATTTCGTTCTGATCGTGTAGGGCATGCCGGGGGCGTTGCAATTTACATAAATAACAAGATATCCGCAAAAATCCTCTGTAAGCAAGGACCAGATAGTGCCATAGAATACTTATTTCTAACGATCACCATCAATAGAAGAAAGATGCTTCTTGGTTGCATATATCGACCAAATCGAAACATTGACTACTCAGACCTGACATCACTTATTACTGACATTTCCTTGACTTATACAGACGTAATCCTA